ATCCGTTGCCGGACACGGAAAAAAAAAAAAAAAAAAAAAAAAAAAAAAAAAGAAAGAAATGCAGAAAGTACACCAGAATAAAGAATAAAAAGGGAATCTGGAATGTTCCATCTTAAAATTCCACAGGATCTTCCCTGGGTTGTTCCCGATTCTTACCTTTGAATGCCCACTGGAAAAACATATGCTATAATGATTAGAAATGTATTCCTCTGTGGGAAGTAGCAGCAGTTACATTTAAAGAAAGGTAAGCTTCTCTCCAGGCTGCGTTAACATTTTCTAACACATTCATCTCTTCCAACTATCTGCAGACAAATTCACAATATGATCCTACTCGGTGTTTTGCCTTTGTTCACGATCTGTGTGATGAAGATCAAAGTTACCCAGTGCCCAGGGACAGTCTTGATGTCATCATTCTCATATTTGTTCTTTCAGCAGTTGATCCAAACAAGTAAGTTTTAGGTCCCTTAAGCAGGAGCATAACAAAAATAAAGCTTTGGTGAGGGACGTTGATATTAGAGTTGGTCCCTAAAAAGAAAGGGTTTTATTTATTTTCTGATAGACAGGAAGAAGCCACACCATCTTGAGTGATATGAGCATCTCAACCATTTTTCTAAATTTATCTTGAAGTCCAACTTCTGTTTCAGCCTCAAAACTTTGGCTTGCTGGCTGCAATGGTTGGTTCTATTTTTCACTGGTACAGTTTAACACTCATGAAGAATGGGGAAGCAATCTTTAATGAATAGGTGGAGAAATTCCCTATTGATAGTCTCATAGCATGCTGTTTCAGAACCATGGGTGCCACAGCACGATGACAGATAGATAACATCTCATTATTGGCCTCTCAAATGCTTTATGTAAAACACACTTATTAATAGTACAAAATTTATTTATTTATTTTATTTATTTATTTTTTTGTCTTTTGTCTTTTTTCATGTCCGGCAACGGATCGCAACTCTCAGTGTCGCGCCCGTACCAGACCAGGACCAGCAACGGGATCGCAACCCTTGGTGTTGCGCCCGCACCTCGTTCAGCCAGTGAGCGGGAACCGGTCTGTATGTGGGATCCGAACCCTCGGCGGGAGCGCCGCCACTTCCAAGCGGCGCACTGTAGCGGTGCACCACTGGGCCGGCCCTATTTTTTTTTATTTTAAAAGATGACCGGTAAGGGGATCTTAACCCTTGACTCGGCGTTGTCAGCACCATGCTCACCCAGTGAGCTAACCGGCCCTCCCTATATGGGATCCGAACCCGTGGCCTAGGTGTTATCAGCAGCACACTTTCCCGAGGGAGCCACGGGCCGGCCCCAATAGTACAAAATTTAAATTGAAGTTTAAGGTGGTCTCTACTTATGTTTTTTGGAAACTGCAGTACAGAATTTCATAAAATCAGGTTTAGATAAAAGGAAAGTTGAATGCTGTGCCCTAGAAGATACCATTAAAACCTTGTACATCAGGGGGCCGGCCCATCGCTCACGCGGGAGAGTGCGGTGCTGATAACACCAAGGCCACGGGTTCGGATCCCATATAGGGATGGCCGGTTAGCTCACTGGCTGAGCGTGGTGCTGACAACACTGAGTCAAGGGTTAAGATCCCCTTACCGGTCATCTTTTAAAAAAATAAATAAATAAACCTTGTGCATCAGGCAGCCAGTAGTCCTATGAAACTACTTTCTCTAGGAAGGAGAATCAGTCAGAGAGATGGTGGCTGACAGATTCAGGCACCATCAACTAACACCAGAGAAGGCTTGGCATTGTTTAACTCTAGGGAGTCAGGACAGAGGTCAGGGGCTTGGCACATACTGGTGGTCTGGGCAACCACACTCCCCAAACCATGGGATCTGAATAGCTTCTTAGAGACTTCAGACATCTATTCACTCTGAACATCAGAGCCAATCAAAAGACATTCACATTTTAAAATAAAAACAAATAAGTGTTAGAGGTCAAGGTAAACAGGTGTCAGAAAGCCTGAAGGTCACATGTCTGAAGACGACAAAGACCAGCAAGTGAGATTCTGGTGAGAGTCCAAGGACCCAGTGCTGGCTCCAAAGGGCAGGGGCTTTGAGTGATTTCCTCTAGAACAGCGTTAAAGTCAGCCACCTGACAGGGATATCATGAATATGAAATAAAGGCATATTGAAGAACAGCCCGAAAGGCCTGGCATGGTTTTAAACAGAAGTTTAAGTGCTACAGACTTCTGTTCAGATCCCCTTACCAGCCACCTGCCAAAAAAAAACACAAACAAACAAAGAAACGAATTAACATAAATTCTACAGACTGTCTAAAAACCTATGAATCAAACAAAACATTAAAGGTAAAATGTTATTATTCAAAATTTAAATAAACTTTGAAATGTTTTTTGTAAGTTTGTAACATTTAAATTTCTGAAGTCATGAAAACTTAAACCTGCACCAAGACTTTTGGAGAATGCTGCATATGGGAAGTGCAGTAGTACATGTAAAGCCCTCTGTCTGTGGTATTCATTTGCATACTGATTGTATCACCATGTAAATCATAAGTTCTTGACAAGTCTTCATTTATTTTTTATTTTTTTTAAAAGATGACCAGTAAGGGGATCTTAACCCTTGACTTGGTGTTGTCAGCACCATGCTCACCCAGTGAGCAAACCAGCCTTCCCTATATGGGATCCGAAACTGTGGCCTTGGTGTTATCAGCACCGCACTCTCCCGAGTGAGCCACAGGCCGGCCCAAGTCTTCATTTAACAAACAGAAAGATACAGTCTCTGCATCGAAAGAGCTCAGGGCCGATGGAGTCACCTCAGAGTTCTCACATTGGATGGTAAGGGCTGCATCCAAAAAGCCAGGGGAGTACAAGGCAGAGATAGCAATCCCAGGACTAGGAAGAAGTGAGCCAGATGGAGAGCATGGAACCTACCCCCAACCTATGATAGAAACAGGTTGTCCCCAGGACTGTTCAGGCTGAATGCAGTGAATCGAGGCCATAGTTGGAAGCAAGCAGCCAACATGTAATCCATTTCCCACTGTCCAACTGAAACAAGGGCAGAGCTAAGATTTCAGGGTTGATGTGTCAGAGTTAGGAAGTCTACTGGCTTTTTTGGATATGCTACAGGGAAAAGGAACCTGTCCTTAAGGAGGCCTCATCTTCATTTCTGCTGCCCCACAGGATGCAGAAGGCTATCAACAGGCTGAGTAGGCTTTTGAAGCCTGGAGGGATAATGCTTCTGCGAGATTATGGCCGCTATGACATGGCCCAGCTTCGGTTTAAAAAAGGTATTTTGCCACTATAATCAAAACAATGGTTTGCCATCAGAACAAACATACAGATCAGTGGAACAGAATAGAGACTGTGGAATTTGAGCTCCATGTATAAAGCCATTTAATATATGGCAAAGGTAGTATATTTTTGAAGAAAATTTAAGAGGTTTGTATAATCTAGATATTGAGGTCTGTTTAACCAAGACAGCTACTTTTGGAAGAGTTATTTTTATTTTTATTATTATTTTTAGGAGCGCCGCCGCGCTTCCCAAGCGGCACACTATCCAGTGCGCCACCGGGCCGGCCCTGGAAGAGTTATTTTTATTTTTATTATTATTATTTTTTTTAAAGATGACCTGTAAGGGGATCTCAACCCTTGGCTTGGTGTTGTCAGCACCATGCTCAGCCAGTGAGCAAACCGGCCATCCCTATATAGGATTCGAACCCGTGGCCTTGGTGTTATCAGCACCGCACTCTACCAAGTGAGCCACAGGCTGGCCCTGGAAGAGTTATTTTTAGAAAGACATTTGATTACATAAATAATTTTAAATGTGGTATGACAAAAAATGCCATTAAAATGTTAAAATACAAGTGACAGATTGAGAAGAAATATTTTTCAGTGCATATAACAGATAAAGACTTAATATCTATGCTCTTCAAGGGACTACCGTGAAATTGATAAGGAAAAGCTCAATGACCCACCCAAAAAACAGGCAAGGAATGTTTAGAGTCAGTTCACAGAAGAGCCTATCTAAGTGGTCAATAAACACAATGTCAAGGAAATAAAAATAATGAGATGGTACTTCTTAAAACTATTGCTGGCCAATTCAGAGGAGGAGGTACACTCTTCCATTACTGGTAGAAATATGAATCATGATGGCATTTTTTAAAGCTCCCTGGTATTATTTATTCAGTCTAACAGTCTTTTGGGGAATTATTCAAGAACCAGCACATAATATATGTATAAGCAAAATCTTGGAAACAAAGTTGTCTCTGGATAGGGGGATGTTGTGCATGGCCCCTGGGTAGACCCCATAACACTGGCCTTGGAGGGATTTCCTTTCTGTTTCACTGAGTGAGAAAAGCAACGTACAGGTGAGCATTTCAAACTTGATTTGCGTATAACAGTTGCTGGAGGAAAATAAATACATATATGTGAATGTATTGACATTCAGGAAGATGTAGAATGATTAAATGCCAGGTTGTTAAATTGAGGCAAGGCCAGGAGGTTTAGCAGCAGAAAGGAAGGCATTAACAGAGTTTGTCCTATTAATTTAATCAAAAAGTAAAGTTGTTTTCATCAAACAGAATTCTAGAACAAGGAGCTATGAATCACATGTTATCTGACATTGAAGTTTGATTGTCCCATTGAGCTGCACTTCTCCAAAGCACCATTCCTCCATAGAAGAGAAACTGCAGATTCATGCAGAGTACCAGGTGTGACCAAGAAAGGAGTATGTTCTCGGCCCAGGAAATTGATACCTCGATGCACATTTGATTAGCAATGAAATTCAAAGACATGCTTTGAAGTTTTCTCTGATTTTTACCATGTCACTCTGCAGGTCAGTGTCTATCTGGAAATTTCTATGTGAGAGGTGATGGCACCAGAGTTTACTTCTTCACACAAGGTATGAAAACACTCATCTTTTTTTGTTGGAAAGAAAACGAGATTAGATGGTCTTCAGTGTACTTTCAGAAGGGAGGTCATATGGCCCTTCCCATCTTTTAGGTGGCCTTTTTCCTGAGGTTCCCCACCCCTCGTACTTCACCCCTAAGCCACTGAGCCACTCACTGGTCCCCAGACAGCTCTGGCTTGTGCAGTGCCTTCAGTCCATTGCTTTGCTCTTCCTTTCTCTCACTTTGTCCAAAATGGGAAATCTGCCCGTTTTCTAAGACTTGTCTCCAGTTCAGCCAGGTTCACCCTCTGCACTGGGTAGTGCTTTAAGTGCTCCTGTGTTCCAGGTATAACCCAGAATTGCTCTCACCTGTTACTTGCCCTGTCCGCCAACTTCCTCTACCAGTGCCTTATGAATACTCCAATCCTGGGCCATTTCTTGGGTCACATACTTCTTTGAGCCTTTGGTTAAAGTAATGAAACCTCTCTCCTAAAAAATTGCTTTACATACATATATGTAGATTTCTGCATATAATTTTATGTTGTACATAGATCCCTGCAGGCCAAATACAAATCAAAGGTTTTTTAAAAAACCCTGGGCTGGCCAGTTACCTCAGTTAGTTAGAACACAACCTTGTAACACCAAAGTCAAGGGTTCATATCCCTGTACCTGCCAGCTGCAAAAGTAATATTTTTTTAAAGCCCTGGCCTATAGCTTTTATCTTCTTAAAAATTCCTCCCCATCAGCTGACTCTTAATAAGGATCTGCCTCTGGCTTCCAGACTGCCTTTCTCAGGTTGTTGGTTTCCCCTCCGTAAACATGAACTTTGTTGCCAAGCCAGTGCTACATTTATAACTAAAAGGCTCTGCTAAAGCCCCCGTTTACCATGGGAAGTAGTAAACAAAATGCCTTTTCTTCAGGGGAAGCTTTGTAGACCTCCTCTCTTTTCCAAACTAGATGAACTGGACACACTGTTCACTACTGCCGGACTGGAAAAGGTTCAAAACCTGGTGGATCGCCGATTGCAAGTGAACCGAGGGAAACAGCTGACAATGTACCGAGTTTGGATTCAGTGCAAGTATCGCAAGCCTCTTGCATCCAACACTGCCTGAGAGGCACCTGCTCCTGACACCATGTGAGCTCATTGTGTTTCAGGCATTTTTAAAAGGAATATCTGTAAGTGGTGTCTTGTTAATGTTGGACAGTTCAAGAATTCAGACAGACTCAAACCTTGAACCTAGGAAAAATTACTTTTTATCATGATTCAAACCATTGTTTTTTATATCTGTGAAGCCCTTTAATATGTACTTTTCTCAAGTTCTTTATTACTTTGAGGTCTCTGTCTTGCCATTTTGTGACTAATAACTGCAACTATTCATATAAATAAGAATTTTAAAACATCGAGAATTTATTTCTATGTGAAAGTGTTATACATAATGTGTCAGTTGACCGTAAGTTGCATTAAATTATTTGGGAATTCAAATACATGGGCGAGGCAATTGCAGCAGATACATACAAAGATGAGTAAAGCTCTCATTAAGTCATGGGGGAAGCAAATTGGGAAGAATTGTATCTGTCTTAGGATGTTTTCCTGACTCAAAAATGTACCTGGAAACAGCATCAAAATGTGTATCCTTGTTAAGCAAGTGCTCATGGTCTCCACTTTAAATCTTCAGTGGAGATTCAGTTCCATGTAATTTTAAGCACTGCTTCCCCTCTAATTTCTGTCTAAAGAATTGAAAGGATCTTCACTTTTAGCAAAATTATCTTTTTTTTTTTTTTTGGCAGCTGACTGGAACAGTTTGGTTTTTTTTTCATCATGTCTTTGTTTACCTTTTTTTTTTAATCATGTCTTTATTTATTTGTTTACTTTTTTTTTTTTTTTTGACAAGTAAGGGGATCGTAACCCTTCGCACAGTGTCCTCCACACCACAGTCAACTGGTGAGCGCACCAGCCATCCCTATATAGGATCCAAACCCACAGCCTTGGCGCTACTAGCGCCGCACTCTCCTGAGTGAGCCACAGGGCTGGACCTTATTTTTATTTTTTATTTTTTATTTATTTTTATTTTTTATTTTTTATTTATTTTTATTTTTTATTTTTTATTTATTTTTATTTTTTATTTTTATTTATTTGATTTTTTTTAAAGATGACCGGTAAGGGGATCTTAACCCTTGACTTGGTGTTGTCAGCACCACGCTCACCCAATGAGCTAACCGGCCATCCCTATATGGGATCCGAACCCGTGGTCTTGGTGTTATCAGCACCACACTCTCCTGAGTGAGCTAACTGACCATACCTATATAGGGATCCGAACCCATGGCCTTGGTGTTATCAGTACCGCACTCTCCCAAGTGAGCCACGGGCCAGCCCTTATCATGTCTTTAAATGTTTGACACAAAAAGAGAGAACTTCTTTTTTTTTTTTTGTCTTTTGTCTTTTTTCCGTGTCCGGCAACAGATCGCAACCCTCAGTGTTGCCCCCATACCGGACCGGAGACCGGCAACGGGATCGCAACCCTCGGCGTTGCTTCCGCGCCTCGCTCAGCCAGTGAGCGGGAACCGGTCTGTATGTGGGATCCGAACCCTCGGGCGGGAGCGCCGCCGCGCTTCCCAAGCAGCGCACTATCCAGTGCACCACCGGGCCGGCCCGAAAAAGAGAGAACTTCTTAATTTTAACCACATCACTTCTAAACATGATCATCATCAGTGTTGCTTTTTTTTTTAATGTTCTGCTTTTTTTTCCAGTGGTCACTTTTACATGTTTTCCTCTTGATGATCCATACAGTTAAAGGATATATTTTTAATTTTAGCAAAGAAGGAATTTTTAATTCTCCATTTCTACATTTTAGATTTCCAGCTCAATGTATTATCATAATTGCTTTATTATTTTACCTATACATGAAAATGTGACAGGACACAAATAATTTTTCTCTTTAAGAACCTAAAATTTCAGAAAATGGAAATGCTTTCCGTAAGGAAAAGAAGTTTAAGATTCAAAGTAATGCCTGGCTTTTACCTTTTTTTTTTTTTTTTTTTAAATAATTCCAAACTTACAGAAAATTATAGTACAGGAATATTGCAAATATAATCAATTTTTTTTCTTAACCATTTAAGAATAAGTTGTGAGGTGATGTCCCAACACCCCTGCTTTTTTTACTGTGTAATTTCTGTAACCAAAGACATTCTGTATCACCAGATAAATCCATCACAAGTAGAAATACATGGAAACATTACTGCCATCCACAGACAGTTCAGGTTTTCCCAGTGGTGCAAATGATGTCCTTAACACACACACATATACACACAAACCATTGTTTTGCATTTAATAGTTATGTCTCAGTCTCCCTCAGTCTGGAACAATTTTTTTTTCTTTTTTTTAATAAGCAATATTTATTGCTTACAGGTTCAGAAGCTGGGAAGTCCAAAATCCAGGGAACACACTGGTGAGAGTCTTCTTTGGTGGCTTTACAGCAAAGCAGGGGTCTCACATGGTAGAAAATGGTGGAGCAGAGAGAGAAGCTCCCATATGCTCTCCTTTTAAAGCCCTCCAAACCACAGCCCTGGCCCATTATTAATCCATTCACTATAGCATGGTCCTACAATCTAATCACCTCTTCAAGGCCCCACCTTTCAATTACCATACTAGGATTTCCCACCCTTTTAACACTCACAATGGTGGCCAAATTTTGGGGGGACACAGTCCAAGGCATTCCATCCCTGGCCCCCCAAACTTGTGTCCTTTTCACATACAAATACATTCATTCCATCCACAAAATCTTAACTTCTTTCAATTCAAAAGTTCAAAATCCCATCTTGGTAGGACAAACATAGGGTAAATATTCCCATTTGAAAAGGGAGAAATAGGCCCAAAAAATGGTGCAACAGGTCCTAAGCAAGTCAGAAACTCAGCAGGGCAAGCTTTAAATCTTAAGCTGTGAATCATGTACCTTGACTCCATGTTCAATGTTCTCTCCACGCTGGTGCGGGGGTTGGGTCCCTAAGTCCTCGGCAGCTCTGCTCCTATGGCTTTCCTGGTCTCAGGTGATGCTATAACTTTCACAGGCTGGCATTGCACAGTGGTAGCTCTACAAGTCTGGGGTCTCCATTGCGGTCCTGCTCCCACAGCCACAGCTCCATTAAGCATGGTCTTGGCGGGGTTTTTCTGCTGCAACTCTGACACCATATTTCCTCTTGGAATCGCTCTAGTAAAGACTATGTGTTAACTCCACCGCAGATCTCGTCCTGGGCTGCCAGGCTTTTCCATACATCCTTTGAAATTGCGGTGGAGGCTCCCAAGCCTCCACAGCTCTGGCATTCTGTGAGCCTGCAAACTCAATACCACATGGATGCCACCAAGGCTCCCAGCTTGTATCTTCCAAAGGCGGGGGTGCAGCCACACCTGGGGCTAATTTAGCCACAGCTGGAACAGCTGAAGCAGCTGGGGTGCTGGTGGTGGAAACAGCTTCTCAAGGTGGTCCTGGGCAGTGAGCTCGTGGAGGGTGCCTCTGGCCTGTTTCCCGAGACTATTCTCTCTCACTAGGCCTCTGGGCCTGTAATGGAAGGGCTGGCCCCAGAAAACCAGTCTAGAACAATTCTTCAAGCTTGCTTTCACTTTCGTAACCTTGACATTTTAAGATTACAGGCTATTTGCAAACTCAAATTGGGTTTGTCAGATGTTTCCTCATGATTTGGTTTAGGTTATGCATTTTTGGTAGGAATATCAGAAGTGGTGCTGAGTTTCTCCCATTGCATTCTATGAGATGATACATAAATGAATTTCCCTATGATTGGTGAGATCACTTAATTCAAGTGATGGCTGCTGAGTTCCTCCACTGGAAAGTTATTATATAAGTACTTTGTAGAGAAGTGTTTTGAGACTATGAATACCCTGTTCCTCATCAAATTTTTTACCCTAGTTTCAGTATCTATCGTAGTTTCTTGGCTGAATTACTACTATGATGGTTGCTAAGTAGTGATTTCTAATTCCACCATTTCTTCTACATTTATCAGTTGGCATCCTACTACAAGAAAGCTTTTTCTTTTTCCTATTCATTTATTTATCTCACTATGAACTCATAAGTTTTTGTTTTATTCAATCGTTATAATCCATTGCTATTATTTTAATGCTCCTATTGCAGATTTGGGGGGTGGAAGTCCCTTCAGACTGGCTTTTATGAGCTTTTGATGTGTCCCTTGGAGCACTTCAAGCTAAGTTGTTCCAGGCTCATCTTCTACTTTGCCCCATTCTGGAATCAGCCATTTCCCCCAAGGATTTCCTAGTGGGTTTTTTTTAGTGAAGACAGGTATTTAGAAAGCAAGAACTGAGCACTAAGTGTGCTCGATGCTATTGGAGTGTATCTGATCCCAGGCCCTCTCAGCAGATAGAGCTAGGGGATATATATATGTAGGTATACACATTTATATCCATATTAATGTACTTACATATATGTTAAAAACTCTCCGTTCAAATCAATACCTTTGTGGGGGGTTTTTTTGTGGGGTTTTTCATATTAATGTACTTACATATATGTTAAAAACTCTCCGTTCAAATCAATACCTTTGTGGGGGTTTTTTTGTGGGGTTTTTTGTTGTTTTTTTTTTTTTTTTTAAAAGATGACCGGTAAGGGGATCTTAACCCTTGACTTAGTGTTGTCAGCACCACGCTCACCCACTGAGCAAACCGGCCATCCCTATATGGGATCCGAACCTGTGGCCTTGGTGTTATCAGCACCGCACTCTCCCGAGTGAGCCACAGGCCAGCCCCCAAATCAATACCTTTGATTCCAATCCGACACCACAGGATTTATTCTAGTTTTTTCCCTTTCTGTACTTATCACTCCCCTTTCTAACAGTAAAGAACCTGGCTCCCTTGATCCTCATTATATGTGTCTATTGGATCAGTCCCCTCATATAGCACGAATAAACTCTTCACCACCACCCACTCATGGATGCCCTCCTCACCTCTCTTGGCCTCTGACACCCCACACCAAGCCACCATTGCTATCATTCCCTTACCCACTGTGTCCAACAGCCCCACAGGCCCCCCCACATCTACCTTGCTTGGCACCACTGTGGGTTTTAAAAGGTTGGAGGAAAGGATAAAGGAAGGAAGGGAGCGACCATCATTCCATTGTACTGAATTTACTTTAAACTGGAGAAGACTGAATCCCTGGAATGGTTTTCATCTATCTTTTGAAATGAACAGATACATCAATTTAAAAGGTCCACTAAAGACCATCCTTTGGCATCCTTAAAGCATTTCACCTGGCTTGGGCTTTGGGCTTAGATAGAAAAGATGAACCTTTTCCTGCCCTGCCCCCTTTGATTCCCTGCCATCTGCTAAGCTCTCTGACTTATCTGTCAGGCCAAGTTGAACTCTGTAAGGGACTTTGCATGATGTTTCAGCCT